ACCCAGGAAGAGAGGTTACAACCGCCCTAGTAGGTAGACAATTCTACTGGCCAGGCTACGCGAGAGATATTAGACAGTTCCTACGGAACTGCGCGACCTGCAGAGCCTCAAACTCCTGGAAGGACCGAAGACAAGGATTACTCAAGCCCTTACCCGTACCGGATAGATTGTGGAGTGAACTCTCTATGGACTTCATTACTGACCTCCCGAAGAGCCAGCGCTGCACTACCCTATTGGTAATAACGGATAGGCTAAGCAAAGGGGTTATACTGGAACCTTGCGAGAAGATAGACGCCGATACCGTCGCTAAGATCTTTATTAGGACGATATATAGGCGGCACGGACTACCACGGGCTATAGTCACGGATCGCGGAACGCAGTTTACCGGAGCGCTTTGGACTCGGATCTGTCAAGTCCTAGGGATAAGGAGGCGCCTATCGACCGCGTGGCACCCGGAGACGGACGGTTCCACTGAGAGGATGAACCAGACAGTAGAGGCCTACCTACGGAAGTACGTGAACTACCTACAGGACGACTGGCACGACTGGCTCCCCTCAGCAGAGCTCGCGATTAATAACCGAGATGCGGCGGCTACGGGCGTGTCCCCCTTCTTCCTAGAGCATGGGTACCATCTAGACGTGGTGGATTTTCCGGAAGACCTGACGGCAGGAGCTTCTGACTCAAGGAGCCCTATCCAACGAGCGGACGCCATCTTACACAAGCTGAAGTCAACTGGCGAATGGGCACAGGCTTCAATGGCGGCCGCCCAACAGGAGCAACAGGATTTTGTGAATAGGTTTAGGGACCCAGGCACGCAGTACGAAGTAGGGGATTATGTATGGCTAGATTTGCGGAATATCAAGACGGACCGACCCTCTAAGAAGCTTGACGCGAAATGCGGAAAGTTTAGAGTCTTAGAGAGGATCGGAAGCCACGCTTATCGCCTAGATACCCCCGGGACGATACATAATGTGTTCCATATAAATCTACTCCGTCCTGCAGCCTCAGACCCACTACCTTCGCAGCGAGTACAGGCCTGGCGACCACCTGGGATAGTTGGCGAGGACGGGGAGCCCGAAGAATTCGAGGTCGACCAGATAGTAAAGGAACGGACTAGAAAGGGACAACGGCAGCTACTAGTGAAGTGGACGGGCTGGGACAAGCCAACCTGGGAACCAGCCTCGGCGCTACAGGAGACCGCCGCCCTCGACGCTTTCGAAGCGAGAACCAGAAGGGGGGCGTAATGTAAGGGGTTGGACCCCTATTCCCTTCTCGGGTCACCGCGCGCTCCGTAATCGACGAGGCAGCAAGGCCTGTCTGGAGATGCCATCACCAGACTCCCCCTTTTTACTCTCGCGCACGTGACCCTCAACACGGTCACATGACCTCAACGCCTGAAGCTATAGCTCCATCCCCCATCACCGACTTCCTTCCTTTTCCCCTTTCTTCTTCTTCCCCATGTGTTTTGTCTTCGACTTACGGATACCCTTAGTTAGTTGAATAGAACTCTCTTCGGCCGTTAACAGTTACGCTCTACCTAGGGAAGGACTCTCCTTACTACTACTCCTTCTAGTCGGGAGAAAATATACTATACTCGCTGGCTAGGGCCCCTAATTAACTCTCTATCTACTATAAGTTTAGCATTAACTTCTATCCTCTATAATAGATAGTCTAATAGTCTTTCTCTACTAAACTTCTCCGCGTTTAGTAAGGCGGGTTTTGGCCGATTAGGGTGTGGTAGTGTCTATATCGAGGGGGCTAGTGAGGCTTAGGGGGTAAGATATACTACTAGGGGTATCCCCTACTCCTATACTCTCTCTCTTAGCGTGGCTAGCTACGCTATTAAGATTCTAATCTACTCCGTCTGCCTCTCCATAAGGGTACTCTACTACTCTAGAAAAGCTCCTAACTAACTTAGTGGCTGGTTACTATTCTACTGTCTATTTCTATTGTTCTCCTAGCCCTAATATTGGCCTTCCGCTATATCTATTGCGTTCTAATCTTCTATTCCAATGTTCCTATACCAATGTTTCTAATATCTTCTGTGTACTCGATGTACCCAATGTGTCTAATGTAACCAATGTGTCCAATATAACCAATGTGTCCAATGTAACCAATGTGTCCAATATAACCAATGTAACCAATATAATAATGTGTTTTGTAATGTTAACGGCCGAAGAGAGTTCTATTTAACTAACTAAGGGTATCCGTAAGTCGAAGACAAAACACATAAGGAAGAAGAAGAAAGGGGAAAAGGAAGGAAGTTAGTGATAGGGGATAGAGCTATAGCTCTAGGCGTTAAGGTTATATGACTGTATTAAGGGTCACATACGCGAGAGTAAAAGGGGGAGTCTAGTGATAGTATCTCCAGATAGGCCTTGCTGCCTCGTTGATTACGGAGCGCGCGGTGACCCGAGAAGGGAATAGGGGTCTAACCCCTTACATTATATTAGATAGTCGTTTTTATTAAAGACTTCATTAAGGTCTTCTTCTTGGGGTATAATTCTTTCTTCGCGTACGTTTTCCTATCCGAGTTTTTTGTCCTAGATCTATTATTCGGGGTATCTCTAGGTATAGTATTTCCTTTAAATTCTAGCTAAGTATTTAAATCCGTAAGTATATTTTCCTTATTTAATAACTATCGGACAGTACTCTCCGTACTCTCTTAGGATTTCTTTAATCTATACTTGTCTTTCTTTTAGTAAGTCCTAGCTATTCTATCCTTTATAAAAGTCATTCTTCGAGCGTTTTTCTTACTCCTTAATTTACTATAACTCTTCGTTTTCTTATTCTAATACTATATTTTGTCGTTCTAGTATTAGTATTCTAATAGTTACCCTAAGGTACCCTTGTAGTTTCCTCTTTCCTTAGTTACCCTCTTACTTACTAGCTAATAGCGTCTTAGTAGTATTAAGTTAGTTTCTAGTTTTCTATTATTTCTTTCTACAATCTCTGGTATAATATTCTAGTTTTTCGCAATAGAAATATAGCTTCTATTTCTAGTATTGTTTCTTTTTGTCGTCGCTTTATCCTTATTACTTAGTTGCGTCTAGTTCTATAGGCGTAGTATACTATTTATTAATTTACCTTATAGAGCGTCCTTATTTAGATTTCTAGTTATATTCTTTCCGTTCTATATCTCTTTCGTATAGTCGTGCGTTAATCCTAATAGCTTATTCGATTATCTAATATATCTATATTAGTCTCTCCTTAAGTCGTGCTATCTTGTCCTTAACTCTATCCTTAAGTCCTTAATAAAATTAGTCGGCTAGTACCTCTTCGTCCTATTCGAGGTATAATATAATCTATTAAAAGTCCGATATATATTATACTACGCTTCTAGTTTATCGAAGTTAATAGATCTTCTATACTATATTTCTCTTCTTATTAATATCGCCGAAGGTAAGTTTAAGTTTATTAATAAAGGTTTTATAATACTCGAGAATATTAATAATCTTATCGTTAATTTTATCTTATAGTTTATTAAACTATACTTGTAGATTAGATTTAAACTAGTCTATAGCTATTCCTTCTAGAAATATTAAGGCGGTAAGTACTTTATTGGTTTCGTTCGCAATCCTTATTATATTTACTACGAAGTAGAGGTCTATTTATACTAGAAACGTTCGTAACTTCCCTCGTTCTCCTTTAAATAGCGTCGGTTTATTGACCTTGAGTTCTCCTACTAACCCGCGTCCTTGGGTAGCTAATATTTATTATTGTCTCGAGTTATTATATATATAGGTTCATCTATTAGATAACTTCCTATAGACTAACCATTGGTCCTAAAGTTATCGATTCGGTATTAGGTACTATAGTTTTCTTTAGGTATTCTTCCTATAGGTTAGCTTACTTGTCGGGGTATAGAATATATATCTAAACTTTCTTCTATTTTATTAGGTTCGTAAGTCAATTTGTATTTAACTTTTGGCGAGTAAATAATAAGTCGGAATTAATATTTAGTTCTTATAATCATAGGTACAAGGCGATTAATACTATAAAGGGGGTTCCTTAGCCTATATAACTAGAAGTATACTTAAGAGAGAGAATTACTTAAGAACTCTTTGTGGATAGTTAGGTCGAAGTATTATTAGAGATATATTTAAACGGAGATACTCTAGTATTCGACTTTAAGGTAATAGCTCTAAGTCTAGCTTACTCCTATAGGTATAAGTTCCTTATTATAATTAAAGTAGTGCTCTAGTTAATTAGGTATAAGGCTTATTAAGGGATATTAGATAGATAAAGGAAGTATATTTATATTAATTAGTACTATAAAGCTATAACTTACTATAAAGTTAACTTTAATCGCGAGTATTAAAAGAACTCTTAATTAAAGTAGGAAACGAGTATCTTTATATATATATTAATCTAAATCTATATTATCTATTTCCTTATAAATCTATCGTTAGTCTTAAACCTTAAGTCTATCGTTAGATTTAACTTTTAAATCTATTATTAGATTCGAACCTCGAATCTATCGTTAGATTCCCTAGCGCCTTGGTAATTTAGATTCCGTATAATTACGTGATCCGCTCGTCCCAAGTTTCCTGTCCGCTCTGTGTTGGTCCAATGAATGTGGTTGTCTGAGCTGTGCCGTAGGTGGTCTGTAACACTTGAGTTCATAAATATCAGCCCAAATCAGCCCAAATCAGCCCAAATCAATCAAAATCAATCGATATCAGAATCGATCTCAGCCGCCAGGGACAGCCATTGCAGCCAAGGTATCAGTTGAGTTAAGCTTACTCTTCCGGGTAGTGTAATAGAAAATATTCACTTACAACCCCACCTTCAGACACCCACGGAAATTTCGACAACAGTGATAGTCATCTGCCCCATCTTGCATCTGATGTGTGTTGTATGACTGAAGGAAATATAAATACCTGTCTAGCTAACTTGAAATTAATTTATTCCAGAGATATTAAGGTCACCTCTGCTAAGCTATAACGATAAATTCTAGCGGGCAAGGAGAGGAAAGAAGACGCCTAACGCTCAAAGTAATGGTCTGGAAAGAGAAGGAGCTCAGAACCAAAAAGGAGGTAGGAAAATATCCTCAATATATATCACTGGGTTGGGGACGCTAATAAGCTCATAGACCATCTGCGACGACAACCATGATACGGATTGGCAACCATCGGCAAATAATGTCAGAATCAAACCTCCAGAAAAAACTTCCTTTGTCGTTGTCGATATCAGAGATAACCGTGGCGCAATATTTGTCCATGAATCAGCTAGCAACGAATACGTTGGTGGAATAGGGATGGACGAACAAGGAAATGTGGTGTTAATTCCCTGGAGCCCGGACTGGCACTACTACACTATCGGATCTCTTCGGGTTGGCTATATCGAAAGGTGATTTGGAAGAAGAGGGCTTGACTTGGTTACATCATCTGTGGTCGTTGCGTTGCGAAATGGTGGCTTAGTTTTCTCGAGATGGGAATTGTCACAAAGGGCGACGCATTTGGATAGTATGTTATTGTTAACCATATTTCACCTGGGATTTGACCAGACTCGATTACTCGTTGAACATCTTGAGCCGTAAGTCGGTAGACATCGCCAGTAAGTGAACCTAATCGGTAAGTGAAAGCCGAAGAAAAAGCTGGCGGGAAAGCATAAACGTACTCTCCCGGTGTTGAGGCGGGCTAACCTCACGAGGGGTAGCCGCTGTAGTGGGCGGCGTGCAGGAGCTAGCTAGGAAACTTAAGTATAAAGTTATGGAGAGATGGTGGAAGTTGTACCTTTTGGATCAAAATCCTTAACCAGCCTTTGAAGAATATCGCTATCCATTTGTTGCTGTAGCTCTTTTATGCGCGACGATAGCCCAACCCGATCACTTTCCTTCATATTCGAAATTGCAGATGGGCCAATACCAGCAGCGCATAAAGCTACCATCGACGAGTTCGTGAGGCAATCTACCCTGGTCAAGAAAGGTAGAAGAGGCCTAGGGAGAGAAGGGGGTATTTTTAAGATAAGAGGGGTACTTACGTAAGATAAATAAAATATAGAGAGAGTAGTTTAGTAAGGAAAACCTTTATTATTAACCAATAATATAGCCACTTTTTACTTCGTAATATAATTATATAATAAGAATACTACCTTGCTGCGTGCCTTTATGTAAGTTTGTTATAAAACGAATTTTGAGAGCATGGCACATACTATGTATAGTCCGCCGTAAGAGTAGTGGGGGGTTTCGTCACATGATAGTTGGTTGGCCTAACCCCTCCAACCTTCTTAGTTCACTCATGATTTATACTATTAAGAGCCTGATGGAAAATTTCTGTGCTTTCATTCGGATCCCTGGGTACTGCTTGTCCCTAGAACCCGATACTCGCTTGGACATGTCATCTATCTCTATATCAACTCACCGTAAGTCTTTCCTACACAAGCGATTATAAAACGACTGATATCCTCACTTCACGTCGTACTCATGAAGCCTAGGAAGCTGCGGATTATTAATCGAATTAGTGCTACTTCTTGAACTCGACGGACGGCTTCCCAAATTATTCTATGGCTGAGCGAGATACAATACAAGAAAAAGAGCAAGCGGACTTGCAGACGGTGAGATAACCATAGAGACAGTTTACCCGCAAATACTGACTCAACCTTCAAAACTCAGACAGTTTACAATGTGTGGATGCGCGCAGACGGACTACACGAGGGCGAAGAATCCGACAAATGGATATTTTTTAGAGACGGATTTGTACGAGTCCGTAAGCGTGATTGGGTCACGATTCTTATAGAAGGATGGGCAGACAAAACAGAACGTTCGTTCTATATTCCGCCATGGCACTCGTGTGAGGTGCTAGGGTGCGAGATAAAATTCACTAAAGCTTGAGTTGAGAAAGTCCGAGTTGGCGGACACTTCGCATCATATCCTCACGACCGATTGTAATGGTGAAGCAGCAGTCTTTATCTCCAGTTGGAATTAAGGCTGTCATAAAACTGGCTGTCGTCTGGGCCCGTTCTCTCTCCAACCGCCATTGCGTACTTGTTTCGACTCCTTTGCGCATAATGGTGAACAGTTTCTCGATATTTTCAAGGGGTATGTCGGAAAATGCGAGTTGGATTTCTGTGGGGTGAGACGTTAATTATGTACGTTTAGTAAATGAATATATTATACTCACGTCGCTCTTCTCCTATAGTTATACAGAAAGTTAGCTACATATCGTTCGGTTACAGAACAAAGCGACGTACTTTCAGGAAACAAGGCTTGCATAAAGCAAAGGTAATGTCGGCTGCTAGCAAAACCTTTCGCTGCGGCAGTAGACTCAAAGAACCGTTTGGCGCGCGCGTCTAAACCCATTCTGTATTGTTCATAGTTGTCAAGACGAAGGAAGTGCTCTACAACACGGTCGAAGGCTTTTTGGGCGCATTCCGTTGGCGGGATTGCCAATACAATAGAAAGGAAAAGATGATCGCTAGCTTCCTGAATCTTTGTGTATGCACGACGAGCTCGAGATTTCCGCCATGCAGTTTGCGATGCCCCAGTACTATCGGATTTAGGCTCTCCCCAAACGAAGTCTAACCGGCTTGCCAACAGCTCTTGATCGTGTATTGTTAAACCCATCATTCTTAGTTGTCCGGCCTTTCGGTCAACCTTGGCAATAGTTCTGTCTGTGTGCCTATGGGGGTTCGGGACAGCCGCCTGAGGGGTGTGCTGGTCCATAGCGATGATCAGCAATCAATATGGGACGGATTGATATGGAATGATATGGAATGAAATGAGATGTGATGGAGGAAGTGTTGGTACTTATAGTTTTGGTGGGGCCGTTGATCTACTAAGGCTTGTTTATTCCATTCCATATCATTCCATTCCATCCCACTTTGCTGACCCACCTGCAACAGCAACATATTGTATCGTGATTGGTCTGCCCCCGCCTTCTAGACCAAGGCTCGCTTCATATGCGATGTAAGACTGCGGATGGAACTATGATCCATAGGCACGATATAGCTGAATATAGTAGATTGAAGGCTTGGATATAGCTGCATGATGCAGGAAACAATACGTATGCAAGCAAAGAGAAGTTGATAGCAATTGAAAATGTAGTGCCTTCGTTCACAGGAACATAAAAGAAGCAAGACGCCCCTAAAATCCTAAGGCAGAGATAACCATTCAACGAGACCAATTCAAATATCTAGATATAGTTACCATATCCCAATCTATCCCCTAAACTCCCTCCTGCCCACTATGGCCCAGACAGAGAATCTCACCGGTCAAACCGTTGACGCCCCGCCGTCGCCTCCCAGCAGCCCAAGCCAGGAACAATACCGCAAGTGTACTATAGAGGACGAGCCTATAACTATGAATAAGTCCCTTTCTTCCGCCAAACCAACGTCGGCTGGCCAAATTTTACCGGAGCACCCACATTCTTCCCCAGCTATAACACCTTCAGGATACCCAGCCCAGAATCTCCCCAAACACCCTCATTCCTCTCCCTCTTCAACGCCACCCCCCAACTACAGTACTCCTTGCGTTCCCAGCTTCGTAACCCGGGAAGAGCTTAAGGATATTCTGATGGAGGTCCTTCGAGCAAAGGAATCGTCGGGTACTGCGCAGACCACCCCCGGCCCAACCACCGAGCCAGACATGCAGGCAGACGAGGACAAGTTGGATAAGGAAACGAAGCTCATGTCAAAGCTGGAGTACAAGACTGTGAACGACATGTAAGATCACACCAACCTCAGGAGGGATCAAGCTGACTCTTTTCAAGCTGGAACAAGGAGCAGCGTGCTTACGAGCTTACGGAAGGCCTGGAAATCTCGACGGACTCATGCGACAAATATGAAGAATATCTCTTCGTCGTTCGACATAGACACGGTACGCTGCAAATCTGATTGGGACTAACATAGAAGCTGACTTTACCAAAGGCCGTATCACCGGAGAGATTAAGACATATCTTGACTTCAAGTCGTCTGGACTCGTGGGTATTCTTCAACGTGTGATGGACAACGTTTTGGCCGTCAATTTGCGAGAGGATAAGCCATCGGTAGGCCGCTAACTCTTATAAGTTCTATGGTGGCATGGATCTGATAGTAGCAGGTGCCGGCCGACATTCTCTTCCATTTTGTACCGGAATTCGAGGATCAGTATAAGGCCCTTGGGGACGAGTCCATTGTCGGGAAACGGCTTGGCATACTTGTAGACTTCCTGAAAAAACACTTCTCACCTTTAGAGGATCGTTTAAATCCCCTGCTGGACCACCAGGAGATTACCTTTGAGCTCCTTGGGGCGTTGTTCAAGCCGAATGAACTTATATTCATGATCGACCAGTGTTCAGGGCAACCCCGATGTTTTGTTTATGACTCCGGTGAGCTTATAAAACACAGCCAAGGGGATTACTTCGAGATCGAATGTCGCTCGCTCGACTACGACGGAAAAGTGTTTGGTGAAGTAACAGCGATGCTCCGGGTTCCAAAATTTCGATCGGCCAGAAGGATATCCGACCTGGGGGTATTCCCTCTAAATTATCACGGCAGAAAAGCCGAGATCGAAGCGGAACTGGTTGAGAGAGGTCGCAAGTTCGAGAGTCTCAAGGGTGTTTCATATAATGAATATGAAGGTTTTGCCCACCTTAAAACGCCGAAAGGTCCGTTCAAATTCCACGTGACCGGCCGTATGATGGTTGACGCCTTGGCGTTTAAGGAGAAGAATCCGAACTACGGGTTGTCAGAGGTAAAGGAAGAGTACTCGGATAGGTTTTTCTCCTTTTCTGACGGTAAGTATGAAAGAGAGAAATGCCAGAAGAAGGTGAAGTCTCGAAACCTGGACTCAAAAAACATGACGGCCAGGGAGTACATTCTCTGTAGCCCAACAGTTCTGGGCTTTAGCCTTAGCAAAAGGGACTGGGGTAAGAATCAACGTCGCCCTAACATCTTAACGGCGCTAATATGTGAGCAGCGGAATTCTCGGTCTCGAATATCCGTCCTATCGACTGGAGCAAGCTGTCATCCTTCGATCATCTTGAGATACCCAAAGAAAAGAAAACCATGGTCAAGACGATGGTGGAGAGCCACAGACCTGGGTCGGAGAAATCGTCGTTCGACGATATTGTCGTCGGAAAAGGGAAAGGTCTAATATTTCTGCTGTAGTAAGTTGTCTCTCAGCTGCCTTGATGATTACCTAGTTAATGCTGGCTTTCACAGCGGGCCTCCTGGGGTTGGGAAAACTTTAACAGCGGAGAGTACCGCAGACCTCCTCCGAAGACCGCTCTACTCGGTTTGTCCTCCAGCCCCCTTGTGCGGTCTCGCTCTGACTTCAATAGGCCTGTGCCGGCGATTTCGGAATCAAGACGGAAGACTTGGAAGGCCATCTGTCTAGAGTCCTTGACCTCGTTCGTCGCTGGGATGCGATATTGCTCCTGGATGAAGCTGATGTTTTTCTGAGCGAGCGCAGCCTCCAAGGTCTGCAACACAATGCTCTCGTCTCTGTGTTTCTCCGCTCGCTCGAGTATTTCGAAGGGATCATGTTCCTTACGACCAACCGACACAGCACGCTAGACCCGGCCATGCAGAGCCGGATACATGTTAGTATCAGGTATGAATCGCTAAGCAAGGATGCGAAAGCCCGGGTATGGAAAAAACAATTGAGCAACGCAGGTGCAAAAATTTCGGGAACGGAGCTGGAGAGGCTTCTGAATAAAAGCTCGAATGGGCGACAGGTAAGCAATCAATATACCCATGCCGTGTGCGGTGACTAACACGGCATATTTAGATCAAAAACATTGCCCGAGCCGCATTTGCATTAGCCAAGGGAAGGACAGTAACCATCACACATATAGAAACGGCTCTGAAATGCGCTGAAGAGTTCGACCAAGACTTCCATGGCGCAGGAGCGTTTGACAATATGAGAGCCTATACTTGATCGTTGGAGGGCATGATATAGAATGATGCCGCTGCGTTTTCTATGTTTCTGGCGACGAAGACCACCGAGCCAATTCTCTTACATCATCTTCTATCTCACCCTTTAACGTTAGTAAGCTTAAAAGGCTTAAGTATAGGTATAAGTCTCTACTAAATATAATAGAGGTAGTATATATAATCTAACTATAGTACTAATTAAGTATAATATTTAATATACTCCTCTAGCTTATATAAGCTATAAATAGATATATTGAGTAATTTAAATAATTTAAATATATAGAATAAAGCTAATAAGCCAAGCAGGTTGGGTAACAGCTGACATAATCTAGAGCTTTCGGAATTATAAATGGCCATATTTGTTGATATCCTACGTTCTCAACCACAAACTGTTCATCTATCATGGCATCATTCAAGATCGAGTTCATTCCGCGGTCGTACGAGGAGAAAGAGACTTACCGCTGTGCCAATGGGTTTGAGCTTCCGTATTATTCAGTACGCGCTATCGCCCGTTCAGGCCATAAGAGATGGCATATCAAGGTGTCCTTTAGGTACAGGGTACCCAGCCAGACGAGGAAGAAAAAACCAGAAAGGCGCCTCGAGTTCGAGACTTTTATCTTGCATATCGATTTCGATTCCCTTCCTCCCCTCATCGACGACACTGTTACGGAGGTCGAGCTGACTTCCATAACACAACCGATCCCTCAAGATTTGATTCCCCCAGATTCCCAGTCGGGGGCGCTTCCATTAAAACAAAAATTTATCCCTCCTTTTACGCCCGAAAACAGATTTGTTAAGGTCGCCAACAAGCTGAGATATACAGTACGGGAGGATGTCTCTCGGGTGGTATACCCCCAGCAGGTAGAAGAGTTGCCCGTGCCAACGAGATGGATATCTGATATCAAACTAAAGGAAGAAATCCCAAGTGTGGTTCCCTGGATTTCTCGAGCTAAGCTTGACGACGGCGGAAGATGGTACATCTACAAAGAGATTGATAGGCCTTTTTACTGCCCGAGAGATAGTGATGTTATGCAGCAAGAGCTATATAATCTTATACAGTTCCGGCACGTACCCAACATAGTACAGTTAGTTGCTGTTATTATCTCCAGAAATCCATATTTGACTACAGTTCGAGTTAATGACATACCTGTTATACGAGGGGTCCTGCTTGAGTATTATTCGGGCGGAACGTTGGAGCTAATATTAAACAAGCTAGATGGAAGAAACCTCCCCTGGCGCAGATGGGCGCTCCAGATTGCCGATGGTCTCAACCAGTTACATCTAAGAAATATCACGCATATGGATCTTAAACCCTCTAACATTGTGATCGATAGTGAGGATAATGCCGTTCTAATCGACATAAGCGGTATTGGTGGGGTTACCCATGAATGGCTAGCGCCAGAGCTTCGAGATATCTTGGACCCCCTTTCTTTACCGTTTGAAGCACGCCAGAGAAATGATATCTGGGCCTACGGTAAACTTCTACTGGCAATGGCTGAGCTTAGTGGCAATATGAGAGAGAGAGAGCTCTTGGAGGGTGTCGCATTTGGCGCGGTGATAGATGACCCCGCATCACGGCTTAATCTACCCTACATCATATCTCATCTCGGGCGACAACATCCACAGAAACTTCCCCCAAACCACGTCCCGCGTTGAGAATGCTCATCCCTGTTGAGGGCGCTCAGTATTCGCTCCAATCGATATCTGTGTGGTCGAATCCGCCATTTTCCCAGTTTCCTAGTCATGAACTTCAGCGGGGTGGTTTCTTTCCATTTGCCCATTGTTGAGATACAAACCTGGCCCCTCACGCATAGGGGAAGCTTTACCATCACACCCTTGAAGACCACAGCCAGCCAAACCAGTTGTGACCGCTTGCGTGGAGTTTGCATCTCTGCACGCCTCTTTCTTTCTCTTGGCTTCAGCACAGGGCGTACTCAGAGACTTGTGGTAGTGACCACAACGGTGCACCCGTTCAAGGAATTGGCACATAGTACACTAAAAAGGAGGTATATCACGATCGTGATTTGTGGAAGAGCTAGAGCTTGAAATAGATGTGCCAATATAACAGTGTTCAACATTTGTGGTGGAATGTAAACCTAGCTGTGTATGTTCGGAAGTTTTTATATTCATAAGTTGTGATTTTCAGCAACAGCCGCCCCGATTATATGTGCGAAGAAATCACGCGCTGTTCCTGTTGGTGGATGGCCAACCCTACATCCTAACCGACGCGTCCCGTACGTCTGTTTTTCTATGCGTACGTCTTAATCGGGCCACACCATATACATAGTAAACAGCGATGGGGTCATGGGACAACAATGCCATGGTCTAGTAGTTATGGGCGGCAGGGGTATGGAAAACAGGCTTCGAAAGGGTTTTCCCGCTGGCGTTCCCGCTTCGATAGTGGCTGAATAATTTTGGCTCATTATGTGTTGCGTTAATTGGGCCTTCATGCTTAAGTTATCCGTATAAATAGGGGCTTGGCTGCAACAATACCCAACTAACCCAGCTTGAGGGAGGAAACTTCCTCCTCACTTAGCCCCTCCAAAGCACTGAGAGGGAAAGAAGAATACATAAGTATTAAACTGTTTGACGAAGAGGAGTACGATAGAACAGTTACAGGCAGGGGAAAGCAAATTAATGGTTTAAGCCCAGTAGATCGCGACGTGCGACATTCATATACTTGACTAACTCACCATGGGTGGGAAGCGCTCTATCTTTTGGCTGGGCAGTGTCCCAGTACAATAAATTTGGCAGGAGTATGTGGGATTACTTTTGAGAGATACACGGGGGTCAGACATTTTGATACGCACCGAGGAGCCAATCAAGGTCGCATATATGTTGCACAATAGATGGTATTAACGAATGTGACAAACCCCTACGGCTTCTCAATAACGATATGCAAGGCCTGAACTGGGTAAACAGTCGATTTGTACCCATTCTTCGCCTACCCATCAGCATACCAGGCCTAGGAGGCGCTTGCATATCGAGCTGTTTACACGCTTATTCAGACTAAGGGGATGACTACGAAAGCGAGTGGGGGGATTTCATAAAAGGAGTGAACTACGCCCGCAAATTCATGGGCGGATACTAAGAACTCGAAGCTCACATTTGAGCTCTCATTGTCTATTTAGCTGTCGAACAGTTACGGCCCCGCGGTGCTATACTTCTCCTATAATGAACGCATTCAACAGCGCGGGCTCTGTGCCACTGCCAACCACGCCCTGGATCTCTATTGTGGACTTCTTCTTCCCCGGCTTCACCGCCATCTCCACCTCCACGCAACTAGACATGAGGATGTGCGGGCCCGGTCAAACCCGGGGGGTTCCAAAGATGCTCACCGTGGGCGCGGGTTTCTCCGTACCCAAGCTTTTGGGTATAGGCTCTATAGGTTACCTGAAATCTATCTTAAATAAGCCTACCCACCCAAGTCTTACCCAAGACTTTTTAGAAGTGCTCAGATTTGACCACCCAAATACCCGTGGGTTAGGCATTGCACATCCTCATGTCTACCTACACCCAGGTTTCTCCACTCGGTGTCACGTCCGTCTTCATACCCGCTGACGGATTCTCTTTCCACGTCCATATGGAACAGACCGCCAGTTGAATCATCGCCGTTGCTGCTAGAACCTTGGAAGCTAAAGATCTGGTATGCTATCATCGTGGTGGTCGTCACTGTTTGGAAGAGCCGGCACGAATCCTGTAGATGATGAATCAACGCTGTATCGACATTCAACAACTTCCAACGTCGTCGGTAGAAAATTTCATGCTATTGGCTTACACCATATCTTAACAGTTGCTTTAAACACTATATGGCTCAACGTGTGGCCCCGTTACAACATCTCTTTGATACTAGCTATCTACATGTTTTTGGGGGTGATATATACCCTGAGATCGTCTCCTTCCAGGGGGGCCATAATCCCAAATGTCGGCTTTGCGCTATCAACTCTGGGAAACCGTGGTATATCATTCGGGTCTTCCAGCCGCTCAATATCGTACTGGTGGAGTGCTGTGCCGATGAAACAGAGGACTTCCTGCCTTGCCACAAAGCGGCCTGCACAGAGAGTCGCCCCCCCGCCAAATGGACGGTAACTGGAACTCCTCGTTAAATTCCGTTTTTCAATGAACCGCGTGGGTCGGAATTTGGAAAAATCGTTCCCAAAGACGTCTTGGTTTTCGTGCAATTGACGATACGGTAGCATGATTTTCCGGCCCTTACGAAGGATTTTCCCGCCAATCAACGTGTCTTCAGTGATATATCGCATACTGGCTGAGCTCGAGTAAAGACGAAGAACTTCACTAAGGACTGAGTCTAGAATTGGGCACTTGTTCGTGAGATGCTCGAGGCTAGGCCCATCCGTGCGGTTTTCAAGGAATACCTCCTTCTTAACGGATGCATATAGGCTGGGATCGCTGAGAAGGTGGCACAATACCCAGAAACAAAACTTGTAGGTATTCCCGTTGACACTATGCATTAACGACTTCGTTAGACGCATAGCAATATCATACCAAGCAACGTGAACTTACACGAAAAAGATAATGAGGATTGCAGCAGACATATCACTCTCCCCCAATCCTAAATTCCTCGACTCTGTTTCTAGCGACTTTGTGAACCAGGCACAATCCTCGCGCTCTTCTCTTGGTAAGCGGTAATATTGAGTGAGAATGTCAATTATCGTGTCTCGAGCAGCCAGAGCGTCTCTCGAAAAAACACTTGGGTATTGAAACAATAGCTTCCAGACGCCGCGGTCTAGGGCATAGAAAGATTTGAGCATGTCTGGTGTCAGTCCCCATAGCTTATCGCCCCAATAAGTCTTCGTTCCTGCTTCTACTAGGACACGTCCGCACAGTCCCAGCAGGGACACCTGAATTCCCTTACTGGATTTTTGGCTCCCGAGACACTCGCCTTGGGATAGAGTCTCCCATGCCAGCCCGCGTTTAATATGCCCAAGCAAGACATCGATCAGTGGCCCAGCCTGTGAGTTTGGGCCTGGGAGCAGCTGGATATGGTGGAAATCGACAGCCAATCTAACCAGTGATTTCCCCGAAGGATTAAGGCTGGAATCGTTTCGCCCAGGGATATATCGCGGTGGCTCTTCGCTCATCTTTTCCACCGTCCTCGTGTCTGTGCCGCAGGACAGCATCAGGTCCTGAACAAATACATCGAATGACAACGAAGTATTATTCTTGTATACTTGGGCGACATCGTTGGGGTTCACGACAACGTACACCTCCTCACCAGCCAGTGTGATGCTAAATGGTTCTCGCAGCGGATTGTTACCACTACAAGAAAAATTGGGTCAGCCAGAGGTTCCTCAGCGGATTTTCGACATTGCCACATACAGCCCTGAATTGAGAAGAGCATGAGCGTCTTTAAAGAATTCAAATGTGCATCCTATGTGTTTGTTGGTTAACTCGGGGAAACGCTGATTAATTTCTTGCTTCCTTGACCTACCGAGCCCTGATGCATATTTAGTAAACTATGATATGGCACGGTCAACAGGCGGCGGGCATGCTTACAAGGTATCAAATATGGCAGTGGCCTTGGGTCCCTTGGGAACAGTTTAGGGACAATTGTGAATCTCCAAAGTCTCCAAACGACCCAGGAAATAACTCCAAGGAGTAGAGTATTACGCGCAAGGCAAAGTACAGCATCACCAGAGCGTAAACTAGCCAAGTTTCCTATGCGCACTGGAAAATCCATGGCTGACTAGGACCGTTGTCAAAAAAAAAAAAAAAAAGAAGAAGAAGAAAAGAAAAGGAATATGAACAGGAAGGCGCCGAAGGCTACCTAAAGATTGGCGGGAGACCTACATACCTTTGTGGGCTTCTTGGTTGAAGATATATTTGGAGGTCTCATTGAGGGCAGGACATTTGAGATGTACAGTAACTATCACAGTTACGAAGTACATGCATGGGTGTGTTAATCTCCGGATCAGCCGTAGGATCAGCCGTTGCTCAAATATGTGCAGGCATTCCGTGGATCCCTGTTCGAAAGTCACCGGCTGCTAAACTTAGTAGATCCTGGTAATGGACTGCCAACGAGGAATTACTCCTCCGTGCTTACTCTGTGCACCATTAACTGCAGCCTTGGAGGTTTCTCAGCCTGCTTGCTCCCGGACCGATGGCCGAAAGTCTTGTACGGCTTATGCATGGCGAGGGCATTTCAGCACCGCCCTTGGTGCATCTTTATATCAATCTTCCCAGCTCTTGCGCGGATTTAATTCGTTACTCAAGACCAACGTCTGTGGTGTTGAACATTTTTCTTTCGTTTGATATATTTTGTTCTTCCAACGCAGATTACTATGAGTTTACCCTCAGGATCCTCTATGGATCTAAACCTCATCCCGGCGGGACCTCCACCGCCTGGAGAGGTTCCTGTCATCGGTGGTGGACCGTCACTCGGCACAACGACTATTGCTCTCGAGTGTGTCATGATGGCCATCGCAGCGACAGCCGTCCTCTGTCGAGTTATCTCGAGCTATCCCGTGCGAGGTCGTCGCTCATCCGGGCTTGGTGTGGCCGATTGTACGAAACATCTCAGCCATCATAGCTAGCTGCCCGCACATATTTCACTGGAATAGCATCCCTAACAAGCATATCACAGATGCCTCTCTGGCTGCGATGCTGCTTGCGATTGCTCAATCCTCTCTCGTCATTTCGCGTATGTAGATACCCGATACCCGCTCGATATCTAAGAAATGCTGGCGGACTAACTTGCTTCTTAGTCCACGACTACGAGCGCCACCAGTGGAACATTTCTGTTGGTTCGCTAACTAGCAGCTACTTTAAGGTAGGCCCAACTAGATAGTTAGCTACACTGGTAGCATCTATGCTAAGTGCAAGTCGCAGAGAGGCTTTGCCCAGAACCTGATCGCCTGGCCGAGTATTTTTTGCGCTAAACTGGCTATCCTTCTCCTCTACCTTCGCATCTTCCGAGTCAAACATTCTCTGAGATGGGCAGTATACGGGGGGGCGGCATGGGCAGCGCTTGCTTATCTTCCCAATATTGCCGTTGCCACCTATTTCTGTGCTGCTCACCCTGGTGAACCATGGGGCTTCAACGTTGGCATGCGATGCTCGCAAAAGGGGCCACTGAAATGGCTTGTTGTATCAGCAACCATGTCAGTGATACTGGACCTCTATATATTCGCAGTTCCAATTCCTATTGTGATGTCTTTGAAGATGAGCAATAAGAAAAGACTAGGGGTCCTCCTTATCTTTTTTACTGCATTTTTGTACGTTGAAACTCTTGCACCCGAGTAGACGGTATGCCCGAGAACGCTAACTAGAAAGTATAGGGCTTGTATTTGTGCTATTCTAACCCTGGTGTACCGTGTTCGCCTCCTCCAAACAACAGATTCACTATGGCTTAGTGCACAGCTCTTCATCTGCAAGTTTGTTACCCTACTTTATCCGGGTCTTATAGTGCCGTTACTCACCTATCCTCTCCATATATAGTGCCGTCGAGAATTATATCGCGATCATCGTGGGCTCTATTCCTGGGTGCAATACATACTACAAGTCATACATTATGGAGTCACCACTGCTTAACCGGATGTCTTCCTACTTCACAGGCAGCAGAGGCCCTAAGAGCGAGAGTTCTAATACATACCCGTCAAAAGGCTCTTACCGGCTGAAGGATTCCAGCAGCAATAACGAGTCCATGAACACTCTCCAGCCCGTCCAGCCTAGTCAAGCTACATTAAGTCGAAGCACACAGAGACTAGATTAGCAATGCGATGAACACTTGTAACTTTAGGATCACTTCAGGCATGCAGGTTGTTATGCAGGGATGAAGCAGTTAATTAATTTAAAAAGTTAATGATATCCAAAGCACAGCCTTGTGTAGTCAACTACTATAGGTAACTACTAGCTAGCGTCTGGGCGGGTAACAGGCAGCATACATATATTAATACATTAGCTATAGTTCATTGTTCGTTGGTTATGGGGCGGTGCTCCCTTGACTGTGCTGTTTACCAACAACAAAGACAACGCAGCCCAGGATAAAACGAAGTGCATAGCCTCTCTGCTTTTCATTTCGATAGTGAAGTAACCTGAAGCTCCCTGGATTTGTAGCTCTCAGTTCAAGCTGCTTCCACCTCGCCTGGACGACCATGGCCGACTCAACAGAACCATCTACGATTCCGCGGACATCAGTTCTCGTAACCGGTGGCTGCGGATTTCTCGGAGCGCACATCGTCCAGCAGCTCCTCGATGACCCTCGTCCGTTTGCTGTTGCGGTCGTCAGTCGCAACCCCAGCGCCGCCAGTCAACACCACGACTCGCGAGCATCCTACCACGCAGCAGATATCACAAACATGCCTCAGATCGAGGCACTGTTTAACCAGATACAACCCCAAGTGGTAATCCACACCGCATCCGCACTTCATACCGCATCATCCCGTGAATTGCATCATACCAATGTCCAGGGGACTCAGGTTCTCCTACAGTGTGCGGCCGCTTGCGATAAAACGCTAGCATTTGTCTATACGTCGTCTGACTCTGCGGTGGTGCCGTCTCAGAAGCTTTTGGTAGAGAGTGAGGCCCAGCTCTATACGGAGACATCCTACAGAAACCTGTACTGCAAGACGAAAGCTATCGCCGATGCCGCAGTTCTGGCTGCCAATTCTCCCAGTCTACGCACTGCAACCATTCGGATACCCGGCCTATATGGGGAAAACGACACCAATTTCATTCCACAGCTGGTCTCAAGCATCCGAAAGGGCGAGTATAAGACGCAGATAGGCCCAAATAACAAACTGTTTGAGTTTGTGTATGTCAAGAGCGCCGCGAATGCTCATGTACTTGCTGCAAAGTCGCTTCTCAGTACCGACACTGGCGGCCCCAAAGTCGACGGTGAAGCCTTTTTCGTCACGGATGGCAAACCTCAGCCTTTTTTTGATTTCGCGCGCAAAGCATATGCTGCGGCTGGCTACCCGGTGGCTTCCGATCAGGTAACCGTCATCCCACTTGGGGTGATGTTGGTTATTGCATCGATGATAGAATGGGCGTATTATATCTTTACTCTAGGGAGAAAACGCTCTCAGATAACACGAGACGGTATCGAGCATCTTGATTCGGGGTGTCACTGGTCGATAGACAAGGCGAGACATCGGTTGGGCTATGCGCCAGTGATGGAACAGGATGAGGCGATTGAGCAGACTATGAAATGGGCAATGGCAAATTTGTGAAAGAAAATGCACTGCTTTAGTTCTCCATAATACATGAGTAAGAAAGGTACGAATAGACCAAAACCCAAGGAATAGTAAAATCTAGTCAAGCCTTTGTCAATCTTCAGCTCTGTCTCTGACAAGTAAAGAAATGGTAGATTTTGGTATCACTGCCGACCTCCACTGGAAGCAATTTGACCCTCTAAACCCAAGAATCTCACAGTCGTAATGAATGAGCATTTTTGCGAGCATCAGCTTCAGAACTGCAGTGGCGTAGAAGCGGCCGGGGCTAGATGAGAAGCAGAAGCCACGTTAGATGCTTGATGTCGCATCTGTTCTAATGTTAATGACATACCAGACTATGCGGCCCAAGCCCCAAACAAGCCAGTCACGCGAAGCTGCCGTCAGGCCATGGCGATGGCGCCCTTCATTTAGGAAACGAAGTCTGTCGAACTGCATGGCATTCGTAAAGTACTTCTCATCGCGCATCATAGAACGGTGCGGCACGCAGACCCATTCCCCCTTCCGGATATGCAGCCCGTCAGAGAAAGTAAAAGGCTGCAGAGCCTGTCTGCGTATACCGGCTACAGACCAAAACGATCAGTCGAGGATCGACGTCAATTGCACGGAGGCCATGGCTTACTGCTTTCAAAGGCATTCAGTCGAGCCGATTCACTGAGAAAACTGTCTAGGAGCGGGAGATCGTCGCTGGCGTTGAAGCCCACATTTTTAGCTTCCTTGCGAAGCGGATCAATGCAGTCTGGATGCGAATATAGATCTAGCAGTGCAAAAGTGGCTGCCTGGACATCGTTGGTTAGATCTGGACCAGATATCATCACCAATTCGACAGGAGGAGCGTACTATGGACAAGGTGTGCACTGATCCATACCATATCCCCATCACCTCGCCGACAAGACGATCCGTACTCCAGTTGCATTTCTTGGGAGCTGTTTCGATAAGCCATTGTAGTCCATCGTTCTGTAGATTGATCTAGTGATTAGTTAGGTGATAATGACTAAAGGGAAGGTAAACAACTACCGGGCAAGACTGATCTTGTCTTCCACGCGCGGTCCTCTTTTTGATTTCGGCGGACAGGAGGCGGTGCAATGATTCTGACGACCGATAATTCCGAGTGAACCAGCCCGCAATGAACCTATAGCTCCTGTTAGTAGGAATTTAGTATCAGAGGGGGAAAGGTCATACTGAGCAAGAGGCTTAGGAAGAACCCTCAGCATTTCTGCAGCAAATGCAGAGTCCTGGGGGAAATTATAAGCTGCGTCGTAAAATTCGGGGTCCTCAGCTGGATTTAGTCAGTTTATCGAAGCGAAGGTCGAAATCTTGAGTCGCACCTAATTCACGGCCAAAAAACACATAGCAGTTAATGCAAGTAACCACTCTTTTTGAGAACTCATAGACGGGAACTGAGCGGGATCCTAGTAGGAGAGGTCAGCAGTATTCCCTGTAGAGCGATATAAACTCGCCTTTGCGAAGGTGGTATCGCTCTAGTTCCGAGCGTATGTGGCTGGCGATGGCTTTGTCCAGATCTGGCAATATTCTAGGGAGTTGAGAGGTCAGGATCGTACGCAGGGCCCGGACGAATCCTGTGCCTTCGACGCCCCTGACATCGTTCCACTCGAAGCCATGCATCGTGGATTTGGGCTGCAGAAACTAGTTGAGTGGCTCGTTAGTAAAGGGGCTAAAATGGCTGAGGATGAAAACGCACATCCTTCGCAACGGCGTGAAGCGACAACACGTCCAGCGGTGCTCTATTGATCTCCTCCATATGCAAAGGCGAAGTGACCATATGCTGTATTCTTCCTGGGGTAACGACTTCGAAAGGCAGCCCTTTCGCCTGCACATTGAGTCAATACACGCACTTGACGAAGGGGGAGGATGGTTCATACCAGGATATACGATCTATCAATTACATTGGCCCCGTTGAACAAATATGCTAGGCTCAACAATACATTTTGCACCAGGCTGTATAGCTTGCTAGCAAAGTCGGCACATCCGATGAAAATGTTTTGTTCCTAGTTCTATTGTCAGTTATGGCTTCTCCTGGGACCGCAGACTTACATACCGCTATAACCGCGAGGGTCGCGCATAGAGCGAGACCGATGGCACATCCCGTATAAGGATACGATTCTATGAGTTCTCTCAGCATGGTGGTTGATAAGAATAATCAAGTATGGATATTCGGCTTTGAGAGAGGATATATCCTGGGAACGGGCTCCTTTCTAGTAAAGGTTCAAGGACTCCAGGCCTCGACCGAATATTCGTCCCCATTTTGGATATACTATAGTATTGCTACTATGTATATGCATGTTTTGGATATATGCTCCTATATGCTGGTTTTGGATATATTGCTGCTATGTACGCATATACTTGGCCTCGACGAAGGATGTGGCCAATCGGTGATTTCACCGAAAACACCAATGGTAGGACGTACGGTTGAACCAGCATAAGCATGATATATAGTACCTCAGCCGCAATACCTCAGCCGAGCCGGACATTAATAACACTAACTTCGACCAAAAAACCGGGGCCTGATGATGGTGCTGTGGGGACAGGATCATATGTATGATTAGCAGCATGGCGCTATATAGCTGTGATACTTTCCTGTACGTAAATCGCTGGACAGCTAGACTCCGCTGCCTTCTATAAAAGTGTCTTTTTCCTCAATTGCTTAATGCTGGGAAGTGAACCTAATTCAAACGGAGGGCAAACATCTTCATCATGGTGCTGATACAGATTCTCCCCGGCATCTTGACAGCTTTATGTATCGTTGCCTACCTTCACAAAGCCCTCGGCATAAAGAAACACGATGCTGAGCCACCCTTTATCCCGACCTCAGTACCATATTTCGGCCATCTCCTCGGGTTACTGAGCCAGCAGATAGCATATTATGCCAAATTAAGGTACGCCAACTGACTATCAAAGTCGTGGCCTTTTGCTAACTATGTGCTGATGTATAGCGCGAAATATGGGTATAAGATCTACAGCCTCGCCATGCCAGGTGGACGAATATACATAGTCAATTCGCCTAGTATCATCTCAGAAATCCAAAAACACCCGACAGTGCTGTCGTTCTGGTTCATCGAAGCGTCACTTACGAAGAATCTCGGTGGCATCAGCAACCATGCAAACGAGATCCTTCTAGAGAACGCACGAGGAGACAAAGGACAGCATAGTCTAGTGGTAGATGGCATGAAAGCTACACACAAAGCTATGTCTGGCCAGAGCCTCGATCGCATGACCCTTGCTGCCATCCAGCGGGCTAAAAAAGAGCTCGATCGGCTAAGCGACAGGCCGACGGAGCTGGACCTGTGGGATTGGGTGCAGCGCCTGTTTTCGTTGGCAGTCTCCAACAGCGTCTACGGACCGGACAATCCGTATGAGGATAGAAAACTAGAGCGTGGTCTCTCGTGAGTTACCCTATATGATATTCTTTTTTGGTGTTTAACTGACTGATAACACAAGGGAGTTTGCGGACCATACGGTCACCTTCTTAACCGGCTTGCCCCCCTGGCTATTCATCCCGAAGGCTTATGCAGCACGCGAGAGCATCGTTGCTAGTTTCGAGAACTATTTTGCCGTAAAAAGCGATGAGAAGGGCTCTGAACTTGTCCAGGCTAGGGCCAGGGTTCTAAGGGAATATGGCATCCCTGAGGCGGACATTGCACGATTCGAAGCTGTCAACGGCTTCGGGATCTTGTTGAATCTCCTGCCCACTGCATTTTGGACGGCATATCACATCTTTTCAGACCCCAAACTCCTTGACGATGTGCGAAAGGAAGCGGAGATGTATCTGCCTCCGGATAACGGTTCGCTACCGTATGGAACGGATCACGTAGCCCAGTTGGACAGGATGACCATCCTGACTTCCACATTAAAAGAGTCTTTACGCTTCCATGCTTCCGGGGCCGCAGCTCGCATGGTAATGCAGGACCATTTGCTGTCGAATCAATGGTTACTCAAGAAAGATTCATACATCTTCATCCCCAACCGATCGGCGCACTTTGACCAGGAGGCTTGGGGAGACAACGCAGACGAATTCAATGCGTACAGGTTTGACCGACAGAGGGGTGAGAAGATACACGCGGCAGCCTTCCGGGGATTCGGAGGGGGGGCAAACCTTTGCCCCGGTCGGGTGTTTTCCACCCGGCTTATCGTGGCGGTTGTGGCCTCATTGGTGCTGAGGTTCGATGTGAAGCCGCTGTCGGCCAGTGGAAAATGGGAAGATCCTGGGCATGATGAAAGCAGCATGGCAATTGTCCTGGCGCGCCCAAAGAGGAGAACGAGGGTTGAGATCGTATCAAGGGGTAGCTAGTGAACCAGCAACGGAATAATATGATTCAGGCTCGTCTGATTATCGTCTTGTAAGGGGATACCCTGTAGGATTCCGTATATACCATGGAAGTCCAGGTCATGTTCTGCTTCCTTCAGCTGATGCTGCCGTGTCGTAGATATGTATAGCCAAGGAGCGGAGGTTTTTGTCAAATATGAGCGAGAGCAGCGAATGTTGACTAGTTGAACAAGTATAAACGGATACAAGGATACTGTTGGGATTAGCCATCCTTTGTTCTGTACGACTCGCACCGTGTGTCCATGTTCCTGGGGCAGATAGGCCTTTTTGTCCCATGGCCCTGTGGTTCATGTAGATATCTCGGAGGCTGAAGGGGGAACACGTGACCGCAGCCTCTGCAAGACACGGCGGAACAGTAAAACAATGCCTCAGCAACCAAATGAACACTGGAAAAGGTGATAAATAGGCGTAGAATTGGATGATGATGATGGACGGAAGGTCCAGAGGCTACACAGGTGGTGTAAGCGCTAGTTGATAAGTTTTCCGGGCCTGAAGGATATTGGACATTGTTGGTTAAATGAAGGCCTCTGCACTCACTCGAACGGCTGAAAAAATAGATAAAGGAGGATATCTTACTATAGAAACGAAGGCATTATTCGAAATAATATCATAACTCCAGCTCTCGTAGCGGCTCGCTGATACATAATAATCTTGGGCTCTGAAGGCAGCCTGCCCTGCCTGCACTGCTGCCTAATCAAGAGTCACCTGATAGTGATCGTTTCGCATGTGGGGCTGACATCTGAGGGGTGATCTTTGCGTCATACGCTTTTATTTCTCATTTCTGTCCCCTTTTCTCGCAGAAAATGATAACTGAAGAAAGTGATACACTCTACATTTGCGTTGCGCTCTAAGACTTCTTAACTGCTATACTTCCTTCTATATTTTATCGAGGCCTCCAGCACTTCTTAATCGTCATGGGGGTAAGTAGCTCATTTGACGCGCTCTATTCCCATCGGCCCTAGCTAACTATATTGATGCAGCTAGGCGATGATGCACTCGCCGGGCGAGAAGAAGACATTGGAGGCCACTTTTTCGATCCGACCGAAAATCATAGGAGAATATATTTCAAGGGCTATTATCTCTCTATCCTTAATAAAAAGACCGGAGACCACCCGACACACCACGACGCGACGCAACCCGGTCAAAAAATCATAACGAAATATCAACCATTCGAAGTTCCAGCTGGGTATACGGTATATATCAGGGTCGCCAGCGTATACTTTGAGGTCTAGAATGACATTGCGACTTCCATTCCATACATGCGGTGGAGACGATATCCGTCCTCATTGGCACACCAGATCGTGAGGGAGACGTCCTGAGTGTCATCCTTTGGGAGCAGAGTAGCTAAGCATCCCGTTGTCTCTAGACCCTGACGCCTTTCTGCCTCCCAGAGCTTGCTATTCCGGACCGCTGTTCTAAAGGGCTCGGGTAATTTTTCGATGTTACTGGCTGGTGCGTTTGAATAAATGTACTTTGCTTCTATTAGATAGTTGTTAGCAGCGGCAAGAGTGCCATTGGAGGGCAGTCTTACCCCTATTTTTAGTAGATGCCGGTTGCGAGGTTACTCCGGCCGGGCTCTCTTGGTTCTGCGTTAAGCGTTGAATTGTGCTTTCGTGAAGTGGCGGTTGGTTCGATCTATCATATCCCGGATTGATGTTTGAAATATACCCATTACCACCACGTGTTTGATCTGTTAAGCATTAGTCCTGTATAAGGAGAGAGGTGAGCAACATACTAGGGTTGTAGACTGGTGCAGTAAACCCCATTTGTCGCAGGCTTGGAAGCTGATCTAAGCTGAAGTCAGTATCGTTGAGGTAATATATATATATAAACGGGATGGTTATCACGTACGTCGGTTGGGATTGCTGGGATTACATTGCCTGTAGTCGATTTCTGTTCAATATTAGCACTGGATAGCATAGGTTACAAACGCCGTTGCCTACCTTGCGCAGTCGTTATCTTATTTTCAGTGCCTAACTCCATCACCCCATGTGATCTTTTAAGAGCGTTGGCATTTTCTCTCTGGTCGATGAGCGTAGATTTTAAGCTGGACATAAATTCTCGAAACTGATCGCACGTATTGAGAGATTTCTCTTCTTCCAGCGATTGCAGTTTTTGGACTATTTCCGTAGATAGCAGCGGTATTCTCTCCGTGCTCGTGTCGTCGATCACAAAATCGAACGTGTTATCTGACATCCCCACGGAAGAATTCCAACTTGACGGTGGGATGGCCATGGCCCACATTAGAATAACATGAGGATGCTGGGAACGGAGCAGCTCACACCTTGTGCGAGCTTTTTTTTTTCTTGTTTTGACTTGGGCTGAGTCCAAAGCGGAGCCTCTGGGGCCGACGAAAATGAGCTCAAGGTTCCTCCGCAGGATCATGAAGATAGGGGACGTGATTGTTTGATATTCTTGCGTAGCTCGAACAGCATTTGCTAGATTGATATCCTTATCACTTCGATGCTTGAATTTTGAGAGTATTGCACTGACAGTCGCCCAGGCAGAATCCATTCTCTTGCTTAGTTTCTGGAACTCATCCTGCTGACCGTTTGTTGGTCGGATCTTCTTGTTCGTGAGTTTCGACGACAGCGATTCCGCCCTGGATACCAACCCCTCGAGTTGTGATAAGACTAAACCCGCAGACATGGTGAAGTCCGACAAAACTTTACATAGCACAGAGTTGTTATACTCGGATGGGGCGATGGGTACTTTAAAGTCTGTGCAGCTAACCTTGTTTATAACAAGTGGAGTCACACTCGAACATGTCTTCGTTTATGCAGGACTTCTTGTAGTGTCTAGGCTAAGAACGGTATAGTGTCGGGTACGAGGCCATACATAGTAAGGCGAATTTTTGAGTTCGTTGAAAAAAGTGGGGCATTCGGTTCCCTATCAATCAATCGAGCCGCCGCGAGTCCCACTGCGAGTTGCTGAAACTTCTCTTTTTCGTCGATCGGATCATTTTTTGGGAGTTTTGAGCCTATGGATTCCACCCGAGACACTAGTTCCTCTTTCTACGCTAACGGACATAGTCAAGTATGATAACTTAATTGACAAGTCTCGACCGTGACCCCCGCAGAGCGAAGTTAAAGTTTTGCACACTTCTCTGAGTTTAGCTAATATCTCCCGTGAGCTCAGCTTAATCCTAACATGTCCACCAATATTGAGGACTTATTATAGTCGCTAGCCCTAAATTTGGTATATCACATCTAGCAGCAATAGACGCCATGCAGTTCCAACCATAACACGTCCCTGAAATTGTACGAGGCCGGTAATTCTCACCCTATTGATAGTCAAGAATATTTGACTGGGTGGAAGGGAAGCTCCGCTGTGATGCTTTGTAAATAGCTCGGACATCAGTGATCATACGCAGGAAGCGTATGTCGGATTCCTAGACCTTGCTCCTGCAGTATCACCCCATGCAACTCTAGCGAGGAACAGTAGTGGAAATGGTATCTCATGCATAGGAGATTCGGTTTCAATTAAGGATGGGCATCTCCTCTCAGGCATAAAATGGAGCAAGATACCCCCAAATCCTGAGGCAGAGACAACCATTCAAGCTTCTTACCGCTGATATACCTTGTCTATCCATATTATCTCCCATCACGCAGATCAATCCAACTAGCTTCTCTGTATTGATCATGGCTCCAGAGATGCCTCATCAAATGCGAAGTCCCCCGCCGAATACCCCGGAGGAATCACCGGGGCCTGTTGTTATATCAACAATGAAGACGGGCTCATCGCAACTACCGCGCGGAGTTACACATCCAGTACGTCTAGATCAGGGTGCTTCAGGTCAGGAACTACCAATTACGATGAGTGTAAGTTCCCCCTTCATTATGATATCAACCCCTAGACCATTATATCCTATGGGTGGTGACAGGAGAATCAACATATCACTAACAATAATGACCCAGAAAGCCTACAACTATCTTGACTTGGTCAAGGCCCAATTCATCGATCGGCCGGATATCTATAATACTTTTCTCCGTATCCTAGCGGATTATAAGAATCAAGTGTGAGTCTTCTAGCTAATTATATCGACATCATTATCGCGTTTTATATTAACGTAATGGCTACCTAGAACTGACATTCCTAGCGCCGTCAGCCGTGTATCCAAATTATTTATTGGGTATCCCAACATTATACAAGGATTTAATACATTCTTGGCTCCCATATATCGAATTAAATGCGACTCTAGTAATAACCCTAATGCTACTGGTTATCCTGCTATAAGAAACGAATTCACCATCTCGCACATCAATCCGCCTAAAATGCCAGCTACCCCGCTAAACACGCCGACAGAATCATCGGAGCCTATTACCCCATTAGCAACACATAAGATCAACACGCCAACCAGCATGCTGTCAGAGCAATTGGACACAGGGACGAAGACGGGATACCAAATTAAATACGGCGCTGGCAATAATATAAACACCACCTGCGCCACTGCCACTGACCGTCCTGCGTATAACGCATTAACGCCGACACAAGCTGCACAAGGGTCAGATGCTGCAAAAGATGCCGAGTCATCCGACTTATCAACGATGATGGATCCGGGGAATACGAGCCTACCGCTCCCTCAAATGCTCGCCATATTGGTACAACCGCCAGAACTCACTCGGCAGGAAATAGAACTGTTTCCTCCCATGATGGTATTGCAGCCTGGGGACATGCCAAACTTCTGGGCTACCGCGACGCTGCGCAGCAATGGCGTAGATATCACAGACCAGCTCGGGGGAGAACGCATTCAGTCTTCTATTGACGGAACCTTTCGTTTTCCTGGGTTGACAATCCATGAACAAGGAGTGTATTGTGTCAGGATATACCTATATCGAATAGATTACGACTCTTGTCTGCCAGGTGTGACCCAGGTCGGGTATGTGGATAGCAATCCTATCATTGTAGGATCTCGACCTGATGGCATGGCAATCCGTCGATCTACAGCTGCTCAAGACACTCTATGGGTCAGGCAGCCGCTATTATATCAAACCGTGGATGCCAACACATGCATAGACGACCACACCGGCTACTTTCCGAATCTGACAATTCATGCAAGTTCCTCCGTTATAACTATGGAGCAGATGGGGCAGATCGAGTATTCGAAGTATATGGTATTTAAACCAGTTTCGGATTTCATATTGGAGGCTGCAAATTGGGAACATGGACTCTA